AAGGAGGATAAGCCTTCATATAGAGTTCACATTCCATTTATTTCCATTTACTTTCTCCAGCCATGGAGATTGAAAGCGCAATAATCACAAGAAATATTGAAGTTCTCTGCTACTTTCTAAATATACAACACAAAGACAATGTCCTTATAAACTATTTTCTAGGCTGTATACAGTGAACACTACATGAAAGTAAAAGCTTGTGGGTTGTAGCTGCATGAAGGCTCATTCCCTCCATCCTGACTGCTATTTCTTTACATCTGCATATGATATCTCTTTACATTCACAGAAGGAATTACAGAAGCTTTCCATTTGTTGCAGTTAGCATATAGCTGGCCAGAGCACCTCTTACTTCTTTTGCTTTTCCTTAAATAGCACCAGGGAAGAAACAGAAAAAGATGCAAACATTTGTACTGAACACGGGAAAAAGAGAACAGAGGAAAGAGCAAGCAAAGAGAGGTCAGGAGGGAAGTCAAGTGTATGAAAGGCAAGCATGGACTCAGAATTAAACAGACAGTAAGGTCATTCTCTGCAAGAGCTTTAGAAAAGGAAGACCAGGTCCAGCCAAGGGCTAGCACGCTTTGGCTGGAGCATTTCATGGAAATGATATTTGGAAGATCACCTTTTGTGCTACAAAAATTTATCCCAAGAGTCACTTTTAGCCCCTTACTTTGTCTCAGACAAAAAGATCAAAAATCTTGATGTGAGACATTGTGTGGAAATAACACCAGAGACATAGAGCACTATGGTAACAACACTGTGCACCAGACAGTCCTAGCTCCGTGGCTCACTAACTTACTGTATGATCAAGTTAGTTAGCTTCACCAATTCACTGCTGGGTTACTAACTTAACATATTATTTAGGGGAAACACAAGACAGTAGGCACTTCTTATGTGGTTACTGTTATTATTTCTGCATGGAATTCTCCCCAAAACAACCTGGAAAAATTAGATTTGAATTACTATTTGATCATTATTTCTATTTGATGAATATAATTATTATTATACCAATTATTTTGGATTTAATTTATATTGAAATATATGAATCCTTCATTAATAATATAACATTTATTTATATTTCCGCTTTCAATAACTCAATGCTTCTACCTTGATGAATGTACTTTGACTTAAAACATACTGGACAGTAGGTAGGAAGCAGAGTTATAATTTTTCTGTTTTGTAGATAAATATTCTTAGGCAGGAATAAAATAAATGATTTCTTCAAGGTCAGTGTGGTACCTGGGACTTTTAAATCCAGATCTTCTAATCCTTTCCCAGCTCAAGCAGAAGTCAAATCTCATTTCTTGGGGCCTTGATGCTTTTCTCAAATTTTTTTTCTATTTCTGATCTTAATATGTAGGACATGGGGACAGAGCCAAAAATTGACATTAATTTACAAGGTTACCTTTCTGTTTTGCTCCACAAATAGAGATGTTAGGAAGGTACACAAGCCTGGCACCAAACAGCCTTGGGCGATAAACCCAAGCTTTAATTCAGCAAAGCAAATGATGTTGTCTCCGGCATCCCAGTCCCAGCTGGGAATCTTTGGCAGATAAACCTGTTCCATAGTACAAAGCAGGTCAAGTATTAGGAATAAACACACCTCAAGAAAGCTCTTGTGGATGGATGTCTTTCTTTTTAAAATTTTCTTGCAATCATATATTCTTTATTTTTGCACATAAAAGTGGTGCCCAGGTCAATGAAAATGATAAGAACAAATTCAGCATTTGAAAGTGGTTAGTGGTCAATGGCTCTCATTTTTTGAAACAAAAATAGCTAGAGTTGCAAAATTAGGTCAAATGGCTTAAACCTCTAATTCTGCCCCCAGTTTACATTGTTGAGTGATTATCCATCTTAATGAAATTC